TCCAGCTTATATTATATTGAGATTTTGAAATTATACATTTTATGTTCTACATGAAGAGCAATGTCATTTCGGAGGATTAGGAATGGCTGGGGGCGCCATGGTGGCAAAATGTTACCTACCCCACCTGGTATGCAGGATGGTCGTGGGTTCGATCCCGACCCTGACGCTTGTATATATGGAGTTCCCCCCCCCCCCCCCCCCCCCCCTGTGGTCGTGTGCATTTTCCTCAGGGTCCTTTGGTTTGCCCCTCCACATTTAGAAACATGCGTTTATCCACTTGATAAGCCACTTCGTCGAGCTGTTATTTGTTGCCAGGACGCTTCTGAAAAAATAGCTATATAGATCAGTGGGCCTTACCTGGTAAAAACAAATTGTTAGTTTTTTTTTTACAGCGGGTAGACAGAAGGTGCAGGATGGAGGGAGCAGTAAAAATGTAACAGTGGCATGGCTCTCACGGCCTTGCATTGTCTCCCCTGCCCCAGGTCACCCTAAGAGTCAATGTAACTTTGATTCAAATACTCTCCCCCCCCCCCCCCCCCCCCCCCAACATTCAGTGTCTCCTAACTCAGACGCGCATGGAGCATTGCATTTATGGCATTGAGCCAGTGATGGAAGTTCCACATTCTGATGGAAAGATCACTCTTTCCACAGACGATATATAATGCAGTGTAGTACCACATTAAAGACTCCACTCTGTCCTCCTCTGGCAAGCTAGCCCACTACTCATATCATGAGTTGAGTAAGAGGCCAGAAAATGTTAAACTGGGACAAAATCGCAATTATGCACATGCTTCCAAACATCTGGTTAGTTTTTATGGAACCGGCAATTTCTTGGCCAAACCCGGATGTTTTGTAGGCTCTTCTCTAATCTGCACACATTATCTAATCCATGTGTTTATTTTGCAATCTCCCGATGTCATTCCAAGCATGCACCTCTCCACAGCTCTCTTTGCACTTTTCAGCTTTTGTTACATTCATTCGCCAGTGTCCATTGCATATCGGATAATGTATATTAGTTTATTTGCAGTCATAGTGTTAGGATGGCTTGAGATGACCATCCATTGCTTGGTCCCAGAGCTATGATAGTAGCAGGGCATTCTTCACGGTGCCACTGTTGGTCCTCTCTCGGCATGTTATAGGCTTCCGGTGAAATGGCAGAAACTACACCGTGTCATTACACAGACTCCTTTCGAGCTTACCACCGCAGTGTTGCATGGGAGTATTGAGGAAAATATTACACTACATAGCTTTTTTTCATATGTGACCAGTGGCTTATCAAGTGGAATTCATAGCAGCCAAATACTCTAAACGCATGTTTGTAAATGTGGACATAAAAAACCGGAGGACCCAGAGAAAAATCCACCCAATCACGGGGAAAACATACAACTCCAAATATACAGGCGTTAGGGTCGGGATAGAACCCACGGCCTGCTGTATACCATGTGAGGTAGTAAACATCCTGGCAAATCACTCCTCTCCCCAAACTGTTGGACCTTCGTAAACAATATTTGTCCAGCCTCAAACTCTCCTGAATGTGCTAGATATTGAGGATGTATAATGAGTTGACCTGCTTTATTTTTGATGTGTGATTTACAGAATATGCACTGTACTTGTGTTTTACACTGCACTTGTTTGTAACACAACAACAAAGAGAGATGCATGTTTTTTCTTCGCAAAGAATGGAGCTGATATCACCAATTCAAACTACAAAGGTTGATATCGTGCGGTCAGCTCAAATACATGGAATCATGTCTGTCATGCTTAGACGATTTTGCTACAATATTTGACATGCACCAGATTTGGATCAGCCATGTACGGAAAGTTGTGAGGATAGGAAGTGGAGGAAATGATGTTTGTTCCTCACTCCCCATGCGGTACACACACACACACTAGTGTTGGCCACACAATGTCAGGAAATTGTATCATGTTATCAGCATGAAATGAACACCAGACACATTTCCTGGACAAGATCAGATACATTTTGAATGTTGCATCTCACGCTGCATAATTTCATGCAGTCCTTTAGTGGATAACGCAGCACCCATGAAATATAACTCCATGTCACATGTACTACATTCGGCCATGTGTGTGCATTAACTGGAGGTGTAATAAATCTACATTCGGCCATGTGTGTGCATTAACTGGAGGTGTAATACATCTAAACTCATAGATGGGTCATAGTAACATTGGCTTCACACGTTTTTTAGGTGATGGCAATGTATCATTCTAGTAGTATTTGAAGATTTTCTACTTAATAGTCGGTAATTATTTATCTCAAAACATAAGTAAAAATAGAATGGCGAATTAAACTCTCGTATTTTAACTCACACCCCTCTTATTATTTGATGGCTCTTTTGTGAGACTTACAATAAGATATCGTTATCTCAAATTCATTAGCATGACTTGAGTCACGTTGCGTGAGACCTTGTATTTATTGCATATAGCGAAAAGATCTCACTTTGGATCAACTGTGGTCACATTCAGTGTCATGTTTCTTTAATGAGCCACAACAGTGATGAATAAATACATAATATATATATAAACCAAAGAGAACCATCTCCCAAAACCACATATGTATGACTTGCCACTGCCCATCAATCTACATATACTTCTGGTATTTCACAGGAAACATACCAATGTGCCTGTAGAATGAAATGCTCAATCATTGCAGATTACTTGTGTAGAGACAGTGCATGCGTGGAGACAGTGCGTGGGTGGAGACAGTGCGGGTGCAGGAACAGTACGTGGCCCAGTGGTCACGAGGGGTAATCACGGCAGGGATACCATCTGGGAAGTTCGGGAATGGGCTAGACGGTTCGAGAAAGGGGGCGTGGCCGGGGGCGGAGCCGAGGGTCACGCCAGGAATAAAAGGAGGCGAGAGGCAAGGTTCGAGGCTGCCGTGGGATTGGGGCCGACTGTCTTCGGGCCGTCGCTCTTCGTGTCGTCGCTGTCTTCGCGTCGTTGCTACTTGCGTGCCATCCCTGGCCCAAGTGATCTGTGCGTGGAACTCCTTGAATAATGAATAAAGCAACCTCTACCAGTACAAGTTGTCCGAGAGTCACTACACTTGCGTGGACATAAGATCAGAAACAGTGACACAATGAGAAAATTTCACAAATTCTGAAAAGGCTACAAATAAGCATGAAGAGGTGCACACTTGGAATTACAATGAGAGACAAAGAGGAAATCATGGATCAGAGAAAACGTGCTGTATATTAGAGGCATCATGTATGTTAAACTTTTTTCACACCATACATAGCCAGCCGTGCTAATCGGAAACTGGGTTAAGAAATAGAAGTGCACTTGAGGGGTAGAAACATTTTGGCTTGGGAAGATGGCCAATGGACGAGACTAGTGACAGAATGGCAGCCAAAGGACAGAAGAGGATGACCGCCGCAAAGATGGAGTGATACGTTCTTGTTGCACGACTCATGGATTGTGGCATTTTAGGACAATGAGGATGGCCACAGCATGGGCAGGCCTTTATCCAACAGTGGATAGAGTATGGCTGATGTTGTTGATGATAACCACGATAGTTAAAGGCACAGCTAGAGTTTTTTGTTGCTCAATCGCAGACAGTGGTGCTGGGAACTAAAACTGGTTCATCTCTTACACTCCGCGATTAACATGCTACATTCCATTAATTCCACTCAGAGACATTTTGTATTCAACCCCTGGTAAGCTTACAGCCAATTTTATTTTTAATGTTGCTATAGATGCCTCTCCAACTTGGCCAAAGTAGTCGAATTTTGAAAACAAGCATAATCTGTAATGCTGCCGATAAATACGAATATGTGCTGCTATAATGATAGTATTAAAACATTCTCAATATGAATAAAATATTATTCGATTGTCCAAACATTTATTAACTTTTATATGTACCATATATTAAAAAAATCCATGAGCATGTATGAATTTAGTTGCAACACTGTGACATTTTGTGCAGCAGCTATTGATCAGAGTATGCGTTAAATTGACAGTTAACATTATCATCATTAATCATCAGCCATGGTCCAGTGCCACAACGATCCATGGTGGAGAGATGTTAACTACCTCGCCTGGTATACAGGAGGTTGTGGGTTCAATCCCGACCCTGACAACTTTATATTTGGAGTTTACATATTCTCTCTCCCCGTGGTCGTGTGGATTTTTCTCCCGGTCCTCGGGGTTTTCCCCACACATTTAGAAACATAAGTTTAGAGTATTTGGTTGCTATGACTTTCCACATGCTAAGCCACTTCGATGACCTATCATTTGTGGCCAGGTTGCTTCTGAAAAAAGAGCTACATAGCTCAGTGCGCCTTACTTAGTAATACAAATTATAGTAAGAAAAATACAGTAGTTTATTTAATTCCCCCGATTAGCGTGCTTGGTTTATGTACAGTACAAACGAAGTTCAACATACATACAACATATACACTTAAGCTAAACTCATATCTCCATGGAAGTCATCATTTCAGGCAATTCCCCTTGCTCATGCTGCTGTTTGGCCTCTAAAGTGTCCATTATTTTGTTATGAATTGTCTTCATGGACAATTTATGTTTAAGTGATAGGAGGTTCATTTGACTTATCAATAATGATCGATTCAGCGACACAGGACATGTGGTATTTAGAATGTTAAAATAATTACTATCTCATCAGGAATTATATGTAGACGCTCATTCGTTTCTCTGTTCGGTAATTTTCCTGTAGTGGGAACAGCTTGTGAATACAAAGCATTGGAGACAAGGGCTGCTTCTGTTTACGTGCCAGCACCTGCCAGTCTCCATCAGTCAGTGTGTGGGATTTGCCTAGTCAAGTGCAAATTGTTGTAATAACAAACATACTTAAAGCTGCACTGCATTACAAAGATTAATTGTGTAAACAGAGCAGGTTTACATGCACTTATAAGAGCATTAAATTGTTGTTTGTTACATTATTACATACATAATTACAGAGTCTTCCTTTAATAAAGAATGTGGCCAGATTATAAATGCATCATGTTATTTTTGTCCCACAGGGCTGACCTGGAACTCAACTATGGCCGAACCCTGAAAAAGCTTGTGACTCGGCTATGCAAAGTATCTAGCAAGATCGAGAAAGGGTACGTGGTGTTTAAAACGAGAAAGAGAAGAAAAAAAGCCACAATGTGATGTCACCTTCAAACCTCCCTTGGTTGTACAAAATATATCCGCATATAGCCATATAGACACACTGCAAAGTTGGCTTGCTTGTTAATGTTGGGACACACACTTAATAAGCCTCTGGTGTACGGTTAAACTAACGACTGTTAAAGCAGTGTCCACTACAACAGTGGTTGTCAGACTTTCGGGTTTTGAAGGCACCACGATGGGCTCATTAAGCACATTTGTAGATATTTGCATTATTATGCAAATATAAAGAAATACAATCGTGCGCATAGGCTGTAATGAAGAAACTGTTACATTTATTAGTGGCTAGCGAAAGACTTTGTGGAATCACAGAGGGGGAGCGGACATTTTGGTGAGAACCACCGCACTGCGTTATTAATACTCAGCGAATGCTTGTGAGTTTTTTCCCACTGTAATATGATATAACAATTGTGGTCTGTTTTGCAGCTCGGTGTTGAATGCTTTGCTCGCAGTATACCAAGAAATGACTTCAACATCTGAACTACACATGTAAATGAGGCATTTTCATACATTACCATGAACGTAAAATGTATGTCTTGTCTAACATTAGCATGCCATGAATGGACACCTCCGTGGAGAGTTTTTTATGTTTTTCAACCCACTCCACCTCTCAATTCAATATATATATGAACTTATAGCGATTTTACAATCCGCTACAGGATGAAGGCCACCTCAAGCTGTGTCAGGTCATAGTGGGTGTTTGATCATACTTCACCACGCTAACCAAATGCGTGTGGATGAAGGGGAGCTTAGAACCAGTTCAGATGCCGTTTGCCACTGATGTCAGTTGCGGTGGGTTAATAATGCCAGGCTACTGGGTTCATCGCACAGTGCGCGTACCACTACAACACCGCTCCATCCCACGAATTGCTACATGTAAAATAAACCTCTTCCCTCTGGCCATGAACAGTGATGTGAAGCAAAGATGGTGTGTGAAAACAAAAACTTTCATGAGAGAATTTGGTGAACATAACCTTTGTTCTGTTTATCTAAAACTTTCACCGCATCAGCATTGATTTAAAATGAAGTGCATTTTATTGGTCAGTTGTCACGTGGGCAATTAATGGCATTTTTCAGTGGGCGAGTGTGGTATGTGTGACGATTAATGACCTACATGGATTGGTTACAGCCTCTGCTATGAGTCACTGCAGTACGCAAGCTGACCCAATGCATGGTGTGATTGGTTATTACGAAAAAAATACCTTTTGTGGTCCTGAAAATGTCACATTGTGGAAATTAAATGCCGTTAAAATTCTCTCATCTCACAATGCGAATAAAATAATGAATTATTACTTGTTTTAACTTGTCCAGATATTCCGCAAAAATTAATGTGCCTCTAGTGTACATCTAACCAGTGTAAGTTAGCCAGTGTGTACGTACATAAATGAGTATATTTTAATTAACATGGATATCATAGAAATCAAAATGTTTTCTTAATTTTCAATTATATTCTTTTGGTCTTTCGGTAAAGTCACGTAGATAGGTTCAAAGAAAATAACAAAATAACCAAAAACTACGACGTTTCTATCACAACACAAGCGATCGTCATCAGGAGGAAAAAAAAATATTCAATTCACACTCTTGTGCAGTGGCCCGAATAGATGTGTGCCTTTGTATAAACTAATTATACAACCCTAAAGTATTTGTATTCCAAACGTGCACACTCGTCTGGACCCACTCACACGACCAATTTAAAGTTTGCATTCACCTTTACATTTGTTCTGTTACTCCTCAATGTGTTAATTCTACTTTGTTCCCCTGATCTTTAGAAATCTCGCCAAAGCCTTTCAAGAAGACTTTGTGAAAACCCTGCAAGTGGAAATTGATGAGGAGTGCAAGAGAAAGAAGCAGGTAGGCAAAGATAAGCATAGCCGGTTTAACACGTAGGCTTTCGTAACCAATATTATCCTTGATAGAGGTTTTTGGGTTAGATTGTGTGAATATAAATGTGTCGTTAAACCCGCCACCACCCGCCACAGAAAATTCGTAAATTGGCTGTCTGCCTGAAGGTGGTCGTTGTCATTACTGGCAAAATGTCGTACTCGAATTGTGAATGTGGTGGGTTTGCTGTCCAACACTCCGGTGTGCTTAACTAGTAACGAATTGGCATGTTTTGTTTACGTGACAATCTTTACCAATTGATTGTGCCGAGTGGTGGCTGATTTAACGACGCATTCATATTTATGCGATCTAACCAAAATACCTCTATTATGGATAAGCATGGACAATGAGACTATAATAAGCATAATTATTTTGGCTTGTTACAGTTATGTTAATCGTAATTCAACAGTAATGTCCAGCCGTTTTCCAATCCACTGCTAGATAAATGTCTCCCCATGCTGTGTTGGTCACATCTTTGTCCTTATCATACATTACCACGCTGGTCAGTGCAGGTCGATAAAGTGGCAGCGCTCAGGACAAGTTCAGCTATTACTTGCCACTCATGTTAGCCGTGGCTACTAGAAATAAAAGTCAGGTTACTGGTTTCATAGTGCAGATGCGCTCATCACTATGCCACTGTTTTACACCCCCTCCCTCCCCCCCGTTATAACTTAATCATCAATCAATCTATGAATTATTAATATTCTATTTAAATGAACATTTGACTGGTACCAAATATAACTGGTACCAAATATATAAAACTACATTGAAAATATTTGCGAGAATAACTGCGTGCTGGAAAACACAGAGTGACATTTTCAATTAGGATGTTGTCATGAAAACATTGTTGAAATGCCTGTTCATAGCATCACAAAGGAATGGACAAACACAACATCCACTGGTCATACCATAGATAAACCAACCATGTATACGCAGTGCACACATCAAATCATTCAAGTTGCATCTGCCTTTTTAAAGAGATCACTTGAGATATAAGAAGTGGCTTTGTCATATCTCGTTCCACGGACTGTTCTCTAACGTGGATGCGCTGCTTTGCGAGAGTTTCAAATTAATTATGTGACGTGACATAATTCTAGGAGCATGACTGCATTGTTGAAATTCTTAACCCTGAGCCAGGAAATATCTCTGAATCGGTTACTACTTCGCACTTTGTTATACTTTGATTTAGCCAATTTGTATGCTGCTGCATGTTTGTGAAGCATGTACCCATATTTTATTAATTTCATATTAAAATATTTTTTGGATATAGGGTAAAAAAAGTTCAAGTCGTAGATTGCAAAACAATTACTGATTATATGTGTTTAGCAGTTAATTCATATGAAATATATATCACCATACGTAAACGAATTTCAGCAGTAGGAAGTTTATTACCATGGTATCCTTGAAATTTTCCACGCAAATCATTCATCCTCCGTGTTGTCATTTAACTAAATCCCATATCACCCAACATTCGTGAATGTTACAGTTGGAGCAAACTGTCGACAAGGCAACAAAGATCATGACTGAAAACCGCAGCAACCAGCTCAAGGTATCGTTAGTTCATACTAACATGATTCGAGAGATCGTGAATAGTAATATGGACCTGATTCAATGGCATTCTGCACATTGCATGTGGATAAAAAATCTTAAATGGCGCTCTCCTGAAATGCCTTGTGAGATAATAGAATAAATTGCCGGAAATTGGCCATTTGTAGCCGCTTTTGCCAACTGACCAATTCATCAGGACTTTCAAAAGGACACGTTATCAGGCCCAACCATGATCTTCGTTTGCACAATTTCCAGTGTTATTAATTAGCAGATGAAGTCGATCCACATTGCACATATCTGTTGGTGTAAGGTGCTTGTGCAACTGTCCACTGGTCCACAAAATTGTAAAATGTGTAGTTACTTTAAATGTTAAAAAATGCTACTGTAATATAGTAACACATCTGATATTGAAGTCAAAACGATTGCATATTTTCCATAATTGGCACTGAATGTGTGCTGGATGGTTGTGTAATAGAGTGTAGTCATTCCCATGTAAAAAAACAACAACTCATGAATGTGATTGTACAGGGAGTTTACCAAGGAATATTTGTGTAATAAAAGGCTTCTATACTTATTCTCTTGCAAATCTAATGATATATAATCTGCTGTTTTATTTTGCAACTTGTGTTCTCCCAAATGATAATTTTGTGTTGTGTATTACTATGTAGTTGTACATTGAACTATGACCCATATCGAACAGAGGGGTCCTTGCATACTCATCAACCACCACGCAATAGATGACGGTGGTGGCATCTACATCTGAGGAACACTAAGAACCAGTGACATCCACATTTATAGATAATACAACTTTTAAACCTATTCTCCGTGTTTAGTGTACATGCCGTGCAACATATTTGGAATCGACTGGAGTAAAGTTGGACTTACGAACAAATTGACTTAACAGACCTCTGGAACCTAACTCGTTCGTAAGTAGAGGAGTCCCTATACTATTAACCTCACCTCAGTGTCATTGCGTTGGAGGAGTTGGCGGTAAAATTTAAGGCAGGGGTGGGGAAAGTCTGGCCCGCGAAATCATTTAATCTGGCCCTGCCAAGGCGGGACTCGAAATTCAATAAATCTAGGAGCAAACCTGGAAAAGCAGTTGCAAGTAGGAACATCATCATCAATACCAGCTAACATCATCACACGCCTCACCAAAGAGAAGCAGTTCCAGCCATCGCATTAGGGATGAGTTAATTCAATGTTTGACCAAATATAACAGGCTAATTTTTAAGTTGATCATTTTGTATTGCCCGCAAATGATGTTATAAATATCCAAATGGCCCTTGGCAGAAAAAAGGTTCCCCGCCCCTGATTTAAGGCGATGTCAGGATATCCTCTGCATGCCTGCTTGATCGTGACAGCTCTGTGTTTGTGTTGACAGCTGCAGAGAAAGCTTTACCAGTGCTCGCGGAACCACGAGATGTTGTTAGTCACGTTCTCGGCAGGTTTCTCCATTCGCAATGACAAGGACAGCAGAAAGGTAAATCGCGGATCACATCTCGGGGGTTTGTTTGCACATTATGGCTTTTGAATTGAACGTGTTTGAAAAACACAAACATGGATGGCTATTGGATGGCTATTGAAATAAACTTAAGAAATAAAGTCATTTCAAAGATACAAATCAGCAAAAAACTATTAAAATATGTTGCATGTTCATCATATTTAACAATGACTTCAAAATGTCTTCAAAATTAAGTTTATTTAAATCAATTATCGATCTAGAAACCTGAAATACCATCGCTAAATTGTGTAACTATATATAAGGTTTAACATTGATAAAAGCAAATGTTGTAATTGTTGCTTATTTTGTAGCTACAGACCAGGTATGCATTAATAGTATTCATAAACCCTCACTTAGACTCTTAATTAGGAGATACATGACGTAACGATGTTAAACCAATTGATTATTGCAGTAAATATCTGTACAGCAACACGTGCTCAAAAACCCACAATCATTGGGCTGCGGATATATGGGCTCCGTGATAATGGGCTTTCATTTTGTGGCCACATTTTCAGGTGGAAGCACGGATGCAAAAGTCTATGTCGGCCCTGGAGAAGGCAGACCAAGAGTACTATGAGCATAACATCTTGGGGGCTCAGTACCGATGCCAGTGGGAGAGGACCATGGAGCAAAACTGTGAGGTGGGTCACCGCCGCGGAGAGTAGTGCCTCCTACGTAAGCCCAGGCACGTTCCCCCCTACCTGAGGTAAGAGATCGAGTTCATGAATGACGTCATTCACGAGACGCCGTGTGGACCGTGGGCCGAAGTCACCGTCAACGTGCGGAATGTGGCCTGCAGTACGAAGTAGGCCACGTGGGGCTAGTGGCGCTGTTTGAAGCGAGATGTCACAGCCACAGCACCGCCTTTAACTGCCAAAAATTACTTTGTTCTGCTGCCATCCGGGTGTCACTCAAGATGTGAGGAGCCAGAGGCAATTGTGGAACGCAATGTCTCTTTGTGCCTGGCTGTTGAGCTCATTGACGCAGTCCTTTCTGTTCGCTGTTGGACTGCACCCTGTTGGATAGCAGCACATTTGCCACTTTTTGCAGAGGTTCGAGGTTTGTATCCAGGGTTAACACTGTCGGTGTAAATGCTTCAAAGTGGACTTTAAAAAGCTCGTGATGTCATTTGAAAATTGTAGGCCATTGTGTGCCGGTGTTATAGTCCATATTTGAAAATGTACCTGCAAAATGCTCAATTGAGATTACACGTAGGAATATCGCCCCCTATTCCAAAATGACCGCAGACTGTCTGTGAAACATAGCATCTTCATGATAGCCCTCTGCTATAAGAATGTTGTGAATATCAAATCCACTGATTTAATTTGAAGGAGATGCACTACCCAAGCTGGCATACATATGACATACACTTGTGTTTAACTACAAGGCTCTTGGTTTAGGTTTGCGACATATACACGGTGACTCAAAAGGTCTGAGGGTGAGGCATATGAGACAAGCCAAGACCAAAAAACTGTTCAGTGTCCTCCAGCTCAGGCGAGAATTTGGGTGGCACAAATCTTTCCGGTTGCCTCTGAGCCAGTGGCATACATTACACATTTCTACGACAAGTACCGGACTCTTCATATGACAACTGCTAAGTGATATTCATTTTAGGGACCTCACGAGAGATGATGGGGTGAGATAACTCCCCTTCCCCTGACTTGGAATAAAACTTGAAAACGGATTGTCTTGCGGTGATGCCCTCTATGTCGGTTGCCTCCGTTTTATTATTGTGCACACTAGCAGTTGTGCCTTTGCATCGCCTTCAAAATCAAGTGCTGCCCCTTTGCATGCGCCCCCATGTAACCCGGCTGGTTTTGCCTCCCGAGGAAAGGTAACTAATGGCAGCATCATCCTCAGCACTGGCCCGCATACTGCTTCCCCGGTACACGCAAACTATGTTTAGCTGCCTTGGGGGGTGGTGGCGGAGTTTTGTATAGGGGGAGGCTGATGTGCAGTGACAGCTGCTCAAGTCTGGCAGTGAAGCAGACAGTCCCCTTTACTGGTCATGCCCTATTGCAGGCCGAGTCAGGCAGCGCTTGAGAATGTGCGGGCCTCGGGCAGCCTACCACAAAGTGATTTACTCCAGCGATCTCTTATTTTCTTCCAAAGCTGCTGACCAAGTTCACATGAACTTTTCAATAAATAATCAAATTAGTAAAGAGTAACAAATAAGAGCCAAGAATATACTTAGTTTAGATTGGGGGTGGGGGGGATTTGTTTAAAAGCAGAAAGAGCAATTTTTTTTTTTTTAAACATTCAGAATGACATGCTCATGCATGAACTCACTTCTTGAGCAAGCATAAAAGACCGTAGCTCACTCGGCTTTTGAAGGCCACAGTTAGATTCATGGCCTTAGCTATGTTAATTAGACGTACACATCCCCGGCACAAAGAATGCAACCTTCATATTGTGGTGTTGACACTTGGGATTAGCATCCCAAATTAAAATACACCGATTCGGCACGTATTGGAAAAGTAGATTTACACAACCACACAAACACCCCACGTTCATGTAATATTGGTAACAACTAAAATCTCAAACGTATGTTTTCAGGGGAATACTGCAGTAATAGAAAACATTTAAAAAAAACGCATTTTCTGCATGTAGTTGACACTGCCAATGTTTGTGCATCAACAATCTATTCAAAAGTTAACACAAATGCATGTTGAAAGAAACTGTGATGAATTCCAGCCTTGTGTAGGCCTGTCAACCCATACGGTTTACCCATATTCATGCACAGGGAAATTGCGTATTCCACCCTATGCGGTGTACAGACGTTTCCATACGGGCCACATTTTTTTTTTATTGTCTATTTGTTCGTGTTTCTCCCTTGTGATGGGACTTTTGGTCTGTAATAAGGTAGGGCACTCATAAGGGGTTGACAGGTATGGAATTACAATTTCCCGGCCACAGCCTACATTGGGTGGTGACAACTGACGCTAGCGCGGTTGAACGATGGTCAAACAACCTCCACAACCGACACAGCTTCGAGAGGCTTTGATCCAGCAGTGGATTGATTAAAGGTTGTAAAATCAAGATTACAGCACGGCATTCATTCGTTGGCAGTATACAATTACAGTGACATGATATTAAACGTAAAATCGAGATATTAAAACTCTTATAGATCACGTAGTCTTTTTATAACAGGTGCAGCATATATTAAATTAACGTATACTAAGTGTATGGCCATATTTTAGTCCCACTATATATCCAGTACTTATCATGGTACTTGTTACAGGTCTCCTCTGTAGGGATGATGGGTCATTTCTAAATAAAGATGTGTTTTTGGCCGTGGGATTAGTAGGATGTCTCAGAATACAGGATGTATAGCTGGTTGTGTGTCAGCTGCAACTCAGCTACCCATGTAAAAAATAAATATTCCATCTGACAATAATTACCCATGGTGGATACAGTACGGAGCTTATGTGGCATTAATGGGTAACATGGCATGTGAAAGCCGTCAGCTGCTAAGCCCTCTACTCCAAACTCATCGCCCTGCCGCATTACATGGACTTTAACCTGTAACATGTACAGCCGAAGAAGTACCTTGCAAAACTGCAGTAAGGGTCGTGTTTCAGCACTCAATAAACTGTTACTTTGGAAATATTAAAGATAAAATACAGTAATCGGAATTTAAACATATTCAAAGGGTAGTCCAACGTTTACTCTTATATTTTTTGCAAAGTTAGATTTTTGCTGCATAAACTTGTATATGGCCAGGTATTACCTGTTTTCGGAGCATCAGCAGGCTCCAAATTGAGCCCATTATTTCGTAAGGTCGATAAAATGAGCACCATGTGGTAAGGCTGGCACCACGTTGTGTAAAGTCGACAGAAGTTGGATTTGCCTACCTCCGGCTCAGGTCTACAAAAGTGGATGAGCACCACCCAGTGACCGCTGGGACAGCCTGCCCTCACTGAGCAAACTCAAGTAATGTGATACAAAATGCAGCTGCTAGACTTCTTACCTGCAACCATAAACGAGACCACGTCACCCCAATACTCCAGTCCATCCAACGGCTCCCAATTTTAACATTGCGCTCACCATGTTCAATTTCCTCCATGGACTTGGCCCCGTCTACCTCTCTCTCCTCCCTACCGTGGTCTCTCCGCTCCAGGAAAGCACCCACCGTCAACCTTCACTCAGTGGGACGTCGCTCATTCTCCTCCGCTGCCCCATTAGTCAAGGAAGGTCTTTCTCACAGGCGGTTGTGCTGTCAACTCCATGCCCTTGTGTTTTAGTTTTTTTTTCTATTATTCAATAACTCAAAGTCACAACGCAGACATCCGAGAGGGAAACGCAGATCAGGATCATGGAGCAGTCCAGAGCAATATGCCTTCAAAACGACTTGACCTTGTTAAAGTCCAGCATTAATACATCTATGACTGGTCGACTGTACAGCTTCTTGTGACGTGGTCATCGAGTTGTTATATAATTCTACATTTTATTGCATTGATCACCCGCTCGAAACACCCAATGCAGTGGGACTCATATCTGCTGAAAGCCCTGAGGGAATGGTGGAAATTCCACATTCCCAAGGCAGGGCCAGTATATCCATAGAATAACTATGGTTGACCTGAAACTAATTGGCACCCATTGTATCAACATTGGAGGGGATGGTAGGCTGACTCTACAGGAGAAAGTGTTCGAAAAAAGCTTGCAAATAAAAAAAAACGAAATGCAATGTTCTTACAGGAACTGAAGGAACTGCAGAACAAGAGACTTCTGAGCCTGCAGGAGCTTCTCAACAAGTACAGCATCCTCCTCACTGACCACACCAGCTCCATCACCAATGTGAGCGCTGCGCCAGGGACGGTTCACCGCATCACGAAATTGTATTTCGGCAAAGGGAGAAATGCTAATGGTTCACAAAGTAGATGGATAACCCGATCGCTCAAAAAGCACAGGTTATCCTGGAATTTGCAGATAATCAGAAGGATGTATCACCTGGCTCAATGCGTTAGGAACATTTCCACAAATAGCCAAGCATGTAATGTGATGTGCGGAATTGCCGATGTAAGTTTAGGGCAGCTGATGAATAATAATAATACCTTAATCAAACAGCTATATCGGGTAAGCACACACAACAGGCTGTAATTAATAGATATTTTCAACTTCATGACAAAAATGTGATTTGCTTTGATTATTCGTGTGTGCTATATAAATACAGTGATCTCTTTTTGTACACGGGCATTACACATCATGTTTTAAAGTTAAGTGCATTTATATGATCAGTATGTATTCCCAATGGCACAGAGCAAAGTCCATAATTGTATGTGTGTGGGGAGCGGTGGCATAGCAGTTAGTGCGCTGCATTACGAATCCCGCTCTTGGCCAACACCAGTAACGATTATCTGAACCGGTCCTGGGCCTCCCCTAGGTCGACTCACTGGGGAGACAAAGGCGGCCAGGAATGGTACTGACCACCCACCCCCTCATGTGCCGTGCCGGCCTTCAAAGGTGCTCGCTAACAGTACTTGCTCCAAAAGTCTGTTATGGCTATCTTGGGGATGTTTCTCTTTGTGTGTATGTATGTCAGATCACAGGTAAAGTGCAGGAGTCGGTGGGTCGGATCAGCGTGTACCAGGATCTCCAGCCACTTCTCGAGGGGATGTCCAACTGGGCTCACCACGAGAACACGGAGCTCATGCTTGCAGACTACTACGTGAGCTTGTGGGACACATACACCCAAAGCACACAACACACACACATGCACAGTCTTAGTCCTGACCCGGCCACGATGCAAGGAATCAAATCGACTCCCCCTGTCCAAATTCCCCTCTTCATAGCCCGGTGCCTGGCAACCTCCGATCCATGGGTGCCGGTGCAATTGCACCACCTGCACACTCGATAAGCTTCTCCACTGATCCTAATTGGATGTGCACTCTGGTAGGGCTTGCAAAGCACTGTGGTGGTTTCCCATGATGTATAGAAAAAGCTGAACCAGGATACAATGATCACCACATCCGTTATAGATGAATGGATCAACAGAACAACATCATTGTGGCAAGTAGAACCACCTTCGTCTTAGCATTCACCGTGTTACTTGAGGTGGGCAACATTTTAAAACATTAGTATTCATATGGAATGTAATATAATATATTCATCGTGATTGCATTTGTCACTTCCCATGTACTACTGTGATGTGTTCATTAGTCAGCCCAAGGATAATATAAGCCGTAGCATTTGCTGTAATGCATTTGACCAAAATGTACTCATAACTGTGATGTTAACTGCAGTTTTAACACAGCTATAGCCTTGCATGGACTGCAATCCTTAGCACAACCAAAACTAGCAACACACCCTTGGTTAAGGAAATTAATAAACTAAAGCTGCTATGACTGGAATCTTGCATTTATATTGAAATAAAATATAATTGTTTGATTTGCACGATGTTATTTTAAAGAGTACATTCTCAACACCTGCTTAATATGCTATACCAATGGTTAACAAATTATAGTGAACCATGCATGAAATTAGATTGTTTTTTGGAGTTTTCAGTAAAAGGTCCAACAAATTGAGACCTTTGTCCCAGCTTTTGTTATTCAAATCACGCATAGATCAGCATTTGCTCTGTGGTCCTGCACTTACAGGAAGAAGTAGCCAGGAGTCACATGGATGAAGGGAGACTTGCAGACTCGTTGAACAACAAGATCTCCCGCCTGAATACAGAACTGCAGAAAACCAGGAATGAAAACAACGGTAAACTCACACACGCTCACAATTCAGGTAGTGCCAATCCTGACAACTGTACAGTTTGATAATTAAAATGGCACCAATACTGGATAAGTATTCTTTTTAGAATAATTTAAATACTATGTGTTTGTTGATGTCCATTGCATTGACTCGGTTTGCCCGGTGCGTTTCCACTCACAGCTTTAAGGAGACTCACTGGAACATACGGTGAAACGTCTTCTTTCGCGCACACCAGAGCCCAATTGGAAAGCAAACTGGGAGAGGTAGGGACCTTTAGAAAACGTTCACTTCATGCAGTCATATTTACGTCAAAGAAAATATGTACATTGTGCACATGCAATAATTGTATAATGATAATATCTGATAGTGAACTGCGTTTTGTCGACCGACCGCTAGATGAAAGTCCTCCACACACCCTACAGGCCATGGCAGTTAACCATACTTCACCATGCCAGTCAGTGCAGGTCGTTGAAGTTCCAGTTCTGATATCACGCGCCGCCGATGTTAACTAAAGCCACAAACCAATCTCAGGTCTGTCACACAATTCGAAAGTAACGCGAGCAAGGGAAGTGGATCCTCAGTCCTCGTTAGCAGTTGGCCCAATTCGTGGCCTACCCTGCCTGTATATGCCTGGGGGAGGGTAAAGTGACGGGCAGCCACCTCGTGAATCACCACCGGCATAGATTCCTGTATGGCCTCACACGCATACATGTCAACCCCTTATCAGTGCCCACCTCATTACAGACCATTTCAGACCTTATTGGTCACCCTGTGTCCTTATAAATCCCAAAGTTCATCCTACAAAGTCCCATGACAAGGGAGAAACACAAATAAATAGACAAAAAAAATGTTGCCCGTTTTGAAACGGCTATACACCGTATGGACCTACAAACTCAAATTCCATGTACAAGAATACGGGTAAACCGTACGGGTTGACAGGTATGCACACGTTTTCCACTGCGCATCCCGCACCTTCCCCTGCAACAACGCTAAAGAGCTACAATTCTGCCCGCTCCCTATCCCCGAATGCCTCGGATTCCTAGCTCGACACTCACCACAGAGCTGCACCCAATCCCCTTTGAACGCCACCTCCGACTCAATAAACACCGCATTTGTCTCTGGCGTCGTCATTACGACGTAGGCCAAGTCACCCACTAGCCCTGTGCGTTTTTTTTGCTGTAGGGGCAGTTCAAGGTGCATCTGCTTGAGCTGAATCAGCACAAGCTGGAGTGTGTGCTCGCCGACCTGGAGACGCATGAACGACCCCGTCACATGCTCTCCGACCGTGTCATCGCCTGGTCCGACAAGCAGGTGTGAATCTGCATTGGACCGAGAGCACAAGGGGGGGGGGGCGGGGGGGGGGAGCCGTCACAGGTGTATACAAGTACTAAATACGCCCCCCCCCCCCCCCCCATGCATGCGAGTGAAAGAGGTTTCCCTTGAGAGGATGATGCATACGCGTGCTAAGAAGGCACGTGCTCCCGCTCGGTCTCAAGCTTTATGGAAATAAGAACAGGGCAAATGGATATAGAATGACAATATCAGCGGTGACGTGTAGTAATTCATAATATTACGTAGAAAATGTAATTGTGGGTTATTTTAATTTTGTACTTTCATTTATTACAATGCCTGGTGTAGAACTCAATAAATGTGCCCGTGTTGTGAATTTTAAGCCGCTTTGCAATTATAAGCATACACTTAATCACTGTGCCAGTGGTACAGTACATCAGACGCTGCATATATTGTGACGGGTTTTGGGTGACACACGAGAGCATAAACTTAAATCGCTGCAAAACGTACACGATCAACGCTGCCACGTTTTCCTCACTCTCTCTAATTCCTCAATTTGACACGCGCTGCAACCGACAGGGCCTCAAGCATGCCATGATCCGGATGCCCAAGCTGAAGCTGGACGAGGGCTGCGCCCTGAGCATACCCGAGGCAGAGACGGTGGAGGGCTGTGGCCTGCCAAACTGCCCGCTCGGCTCGAGGCACGGCACCCACGGGCAACACGCGGCCAGAACCATGGCCCCCCCGGGCGTCGGCGTCCGACAAATCCGGCCTACTTCCCTGCCGCACCGGCAAAACAACAACAACACACGCGGCAAGTGGCGGCGCATCGCCAGCATGAGGAACAGCCTCATGCTGAGGAACGGTGAGCCCGCGGGAAGTGCTCAGCGGCCCAATCACCGCATCAATGAGGGCAGCCCCGCCGCTCGGCACCTCGGAGCAAGGTCGGGAGCCGCAGCTCGGAGGGTTCCCGCCAGGATTCCCCGGGCGCCCCATCCGAGGGGCTCCGTAATCGGGTGGTTCAACTCGGGGGAAGGACACGAGACACAAGAGCGGGTCGATGGGGCCGAAAACTCCAGCAGTCCTTTTGCGGGAACGGATGTTGGTGGGGAATTGAGAGCCATTCCGGGCAGTCTTCAAAGCGACATCCACGCCCAACTGGAGGAGACAGATGGATCCAGCATTGTTACAGTTGAAGGTTTGGGCATGCAGGGAGCCGCTTCCCGCGATGAGCAGCAAGCAGCATTCGGATCCACCAACACGACAGATGGAGCGAACAGTGAACAATTTGCAACAGGGACCAGGGCTCATGCTGATCTGAACTATCGGGTAGAAGGTTCGCAGGCGAGCCTTTTAACCAACACCATCGGGGCTGCGGCTTCTGACTTGTCAATTGATACCTACCAGGGTGAACCTTTACCAGGTAAGGTCCAAGTTACGGTCAATAATGAATGTCATGCTTTTGGTCACGTGAGTGTTTAAGGAAATTTAGATGCAGTTGATTTTCAAATGTATGTGTTTAGATGTAATTATGATATGCATAATTATACATTGTTACAAATTTTGTCACAGGACTTCCAATATCCATGTTAAAGCACATGTTACATTTTGCTCATGTGGGTCAACTCCCAAATATTAAACTGCTGATGTATGGTTATAAGCTCTGGTTGCAAGATAGCTAATAGCAAATACCATGATCAATCATGCCCATAGCTGTCTCAAGCTGAGCCGTCAGACATTCAAGCTGTTAATTTGATTTAAACATGTAGCTTGAGACAGGCCTGCTTAAAAAAAAACAGTTACAACTAGCACAAGTGTTCAATTGAAAATAATTTCCATCTTTGACTGCATGTTTCAGACTCTGCGATAATGTTTTCAATTGTGTGGCTGGAATCAGGCAATAAGATGAATAATCCATTCAGAAATCTTGCAATGTGTCAGAGAATGGCTACGTAATCGTTTTATTTACAGTAATTCTGAAAAATCCCGCAAGTGGTCATTTTTTTATTTACACAGCAAGACTCACATGTGAGAGTCAAACTGATATTTTCCAAACTTGATTCGAAGCTTTCGTGACTGCAGGAATTACTCTTTGTTTTTTTTTGCGGTAAAGTCACGTATAAAGAAGAAATAATAAAATAACATAATATTTTCCATTTTCTAAATTCAAATTATAGCCACATTGCTCTTGAACCCGGTGGGCGCTTAACCAATGATGGATTGCATGCGTAATTGGGCACTCAGAATCGCATTGCAATCCAGAGGTGCCCGGTATGAAATTGCGCATCGTGCCGCTGCTTGCATTTGGGTTAAATTGCCACGTGGAGCGAGACATCTTGCGCGGCATATCATTACGATAGATACGGTGAGGGTTGACGCAATGCAATATTGACTAGGGGAACAGACCCTAAGCCACACGTGATGATTTAGTTTGTGCAGTCACCGGTTAATGGATCAAATGAGTTGAGACCATCAACTGAGGGCCCAGTTTAATCACAGGCAGCTCTCTGCATTTGAACGCAGGCTCCGAGTGCTCTGACCTCTCAGCCACCTAGTCACTTCACTTCACACTTCACATGTTTGACTTCTTAGTCAAATGGCTCAGTCGCAGGGTAGTGCTTATCTCCATTTGCGACAATGATCTCGAATTGAAATTCCACATTACAATTGTGGGGACATCTAATTTCCATAAGTTTTGAAGGTCATAAGAAAACAAGTTAATGTTCAATACATCCAGAATCAAAATATATTAGTATAATGATACACAGGGAGAGGGAATATTTGACTACTTTTATCCCCTCGTTCTAAACACAATTGTTTCCCTCTATTCCATACTGGGTCTGTTTGAATTTTCGACTATTTCTTTTCAAAGTCAAAAGAAAATTCAGAAACGTTCACTGAAATTCTCCAGAAATTATTGGAATGGAATAAAAGGAATCAGTAACCATATTTGACTCTAGCATGGCCTCTGAGCACACTGAAGTTTGATATGTTACATTGTACACGATAAACAATACAGTACACACTCAATAGAAATACATTTTAAAACAAACATTAATGTTCCCAAGACTTGTCGAAGGCGTCCTTAAGATTATTGATATTCAATGTAAAATTCCTAGGCTCAGAGCCAGAAAAAAACACCTTCATATACAGTATGTGCTTGGTGCCAATGCCCTGAGGTTCATGGTGTAAAACTATAACTCGTGAATCTAAGTGACAGTTCTCATATCCAAATCTAGCAATTAGAGACGACGTTTCGCTTGAAACTGCACCAAACAACTGTAGGGCAATTTTCTTCCTGGAGTTTGAGAATGGCGACAAAGCTGATGGCACAGTTTCAAGCCAAACGTAAATATCAAATTGCTACATTTTGGTTGTGAGAATTGTTCTTCAACTTACCGGTGAGTTAAAACCAAAAGTAATTGGCCCATCAAATGCTTGCACACAAGACGATTTAATGTGGTTGCCTATATCTGGTGGTGGTGGGTTTTACGACTTAGAATTGGCCAGATCACTACAGGGCCTAACCCAACCCTCTATTATGAATCATGATATTGGCCGCGAAAATCTGCATGTTAAGAGATGTGACTTTTGTATACATACATCCTATTGGCATTTGTGCAAAGTGAATTCAACGAGGCACTGCATTCCTCATTAACACAGAGTACCAAGCTAATGTGTGCTCATGTGCCAGCTGAAATCCGTTTTAGTAATTGTAATTGTCCAAGTGTAATTTCTACCTGTTGCCAGCAGAGGGCAGATGAGCAAAATACAATGTACGGGGCGGTCCAGATGTCTTATGACCCCCATTTAATTATCTAAAACTTACATTTGTTTTACAGGAAAGTTTATTTAAAACTTAAATTAACATGCAAAGGAAAACATGTTCGGGGTCAATTAATTGGGGGGGGGGGTGACATGACATCTGGACCACCTTGTACATCTGCGTTACTTTAGCTTGTGTGCTCTCCCTGCCTTCACCAATCCGTACTCACCAGTGTGGTCAAGTATGGTGAAAGCATGGTTCAGAGAGGTCCTCATCCAACAGTGGATTGACACGTGGCTGCACGTGTACATTTTACTACGGGCGTGGTGCGAGCAGGGATGCCGTTAAGCTATGCGCTGCACATTTCCTATCGTTGCTGTTGACCTGCAGCAATGGAACACCGCCCCAACACGAGGTGGCACTGCTGTATTGGAGGACAACTGTAGTGAGTGGCAGTTATCAACCAGTGAAGAGGCATGGTTATGATGATACTGATAGGTACACACGCAGAAATCTCACTGACTCGCCACTGAATAGGACACTAGGACTAGGTAAATGTTGAATAAACTGGCATTTTTTAAAATGGCTGTTAAGTGTAGCTTCGTTTATACAACTTGTTTATCTTATTTTTACATAAAATTTTGGTAATCAGGAAAGAACGAAATGTTCGATCGTACGAGTCACAAGGAAAAATTAAGCTGTTTCGATGGCTTCATTATTGACTTGATCTTTGTATGTTCCAGATTGTTAATCTGGAACTTGTTATTGTACTGGTGATTGATCTTATATATAAATGTATAATTATAATTAATGGACGTGAGATAACAAAAAAAGTTTTTGTCCCTGAGTAGTAAGTGTTATTTTCTAATTGCTATTATTCCCCACAAACTTTGCCTTTGTGACCAGGACAGTGATATTTTGAAATGTACCTACTTTCAATGAGAAAACGTGGTGTGCATTTGTGTCATTCCTTCACGTAAAGTCTGGTCACAAAAGCAAAGTTTGTGGGGAATAAAAGCCATTTTCTGTACTTTTGAGGCGTAAGCAATAAAAAAATAACACTTACTACCCAGGGACAAAAATCGTGTTACATAGTAAAATTAAACATGCATTATGTATGGAAAGAAGTCAGTTATATTTTTAAATAATACTGGAGGTGAATAGTAATGCTAGGGTTTCACAATATCCATTCCTTCAAACATCTACATGTCTAAATTTGGCATTCAACTTCGAACATCTTTGCACATCATTAACCCTCTACCTCTTCCGAGATGAGCGCTGTGCGCATGGACATGTAACTGGCCTAGTTCGTGGCTGTCTCAACAGTGCAGGACCTACCTTGATGCCCAGAATTTCTTTGAGTTTGTTGTCCTTTCCCCGCAATTCCGATTAGCACGGGTGGTTAAGTACTTTGTGAAAGAAGTTGAACATACATACAATATTATGCTTTTAAAGCTGACACTCACCGACTCTAGTTCGCCATTGGTGTGTGAATTCTGCAGTCACGACACAATTAAATAAGTTATATTAACAGGAGGCTAGACGACTGCAAGAACAAAATATGATATGCTTGTTTAATTCTGTTTTCCAGTAATTGGAAAATGCCGAGTCCTTTACGATCACATTGCCATCACGGATGAAGAGCTGACCGTTAGGGAAGGTAAGAACTTTAGAACACTTGATGCTGATGAATTACTGATGGTGTTGTGTTTAGAAATGGTTATAATTTTCACCATCTAAGATCCTTTCTTTTTTTATCAATGCCATTGTTACAAATGCAACATCACTACTCCAAATTAATGTACAATTACAAATGTGTTTTAATACATATTCACAGTGAATAACATCAAACATATTTCAAGGTACCAACATGCAAGTAAAAAAAGAGTAATGTCCTGCATGAAAATACATTTTAAAATAGAGCCGAATGGAAATTTGGCTTGAAGGATCAGTGAACAATAATAACCAAATGTTAAAAGGTTATCATGTAATAATCTCTCTCAAAGAGCCATTTGTCTTTCCTGTTTACGCAGGTGAAATTCTCAACATCCACAGAAAGGACCCAGATGGGTGGTGGTTTGGAGAGGTGAACGGACAAGAGGGACTATTTCCAGCCCTGTACGTGCAGGAAATCCCCTTGGTTGATTGATGCTTCACACAAGACAATGATGCTTTACACAAGACAATGATGCTTTTTGGCTCAACTTTAAAAGCACAGAGCAATGATCAACTGAAACTTTTGAACAGAATGCCTTTCTGCTAACGCGCACCAACATATAATAATGTTTTTTTTGTAAAGGTTGCATAACAATTGTTCATTTAAAGTTAATTAAATACTACAGGCTATCCATAAACACGTCATCCATTCTTAATAAGTGGCAAGCAGACATTGACTTTGGCATTTAGATCCTGAACATATTTCCATAAACCTATACACACTCGGTTGTTGGAAGAATTTGTCATACGAGTCTCACCCCTCTAAAGCTCCACATGTCCGCCATGACGTTGGGGACTCGCATCGTACCGATATTCGAGAGTCTTAGTTGTTCAGGTACAGCCATGCAGTGTTCCCTGTGTAGTAATTGATTCCAATGCTTATTTTAGGTTATGCTAACGAAGAAAAAAAATACATCAATAAGCTTATTTGCTGCCAACAGTTCAACTACACAATGAACACTGCTGTTTATAATTTTAATGAATGGACGATACTTTTTATTGACACCCTGTATATATCAACCTTGAGTTTAACGCGTAACAATATTTTAAGTGGAAAAAATTGCACAATACACACTTTCTATTATTTTGCGTATTGATTTATATCAGGCATGAGGTATTGTAAATGTATTTGTATCAACTGCCAGGTATTTTTTTTTTATTTCAGCGTGAATCTACATATTAATGCTTGGTGATGTTTCTATTGAGAAAAGATACACTTAATGATGTAATGCCATATCCGTTTAAGGTACAGCGTCTGTCACCTGTTTTCTTTTTTGTGCTTGAAACGATCTAATTTATTTCATAGCTTTATGTACCGGAAGTTTTTAAGTGACTGGCAAAAGTGCGGTTCACACAAATACGAAGATCAATCATGCACATTGATTTTGCAGAGGACCTCTGAGTAAACCTGAGGCCATACTTAGGTTGTAAATACATTTCAAATCGAGTACTGTATAGTTTTTCCTATACAGTACTCGATTTGAAATGCACACACAGTTATTTGTCAGCAGGGCAGTATACTATGCTGTTTATTAATTCAACTTGTGATCCATTTTACAGAAACACTTGATTATAAAAATATACACATTTTCTTGACGTTAATTCGCACAATCACGCAAATCATCCTTTGCCTGTTTATATTTGGTTTAATTCTGTTTGTGTTGGCTGATAATGCATGACTTTCAACGATGTGTTTTACACATTTCACTGTATTATAATAACACTGATTAAGCTTCCATTGCGCCATGCCTATGTTATTTGTATTCATACATTTGAGTCTGAAAAAAATATATGAATGTGTTCAAATAGCTTCATAATCCTTTGTAGAAGGGTAATTGATTTCATTGTAAGCGCTGTTTATGTGACCCTACATAATTTAATCAGTAGTCCGTCAACCCACGTGGTTTATTGGATTTGTGGAAGGTCCAGCAAAGCAATTTTCCATCTTCTATTCAAGGCAAGCTTCAGGCAGTGCCAAGTTCTGACAGTTCATTTCATCCTGAGGCCAAAAATCAAATTGTGTTCCTATTCATTCTGAAGGATAAACTATATACGTATACATGTATGCATTTTTTTCCGTTTTAACAATTGCAAAAATAACATTGTTTAAATGTCAGACTCTTCATTTATCCTGGAGAAATCCGATGAACTATGAAGCTCTTTTTCACAGATGTCCAGTAGTTTCAAATATGTCCAGTAGGCTCTTGAAACCAATACAAGGGATTTAAATTGTCCAAAATATCACGGCTGACACTTTTGTCTACTGGTCGGTCAACCCACAGCCGTGCCAGAGGGAAAGACGAAATGGTATAGAAGTTAGGAATAATCACACAAAAGCAAATTACAGCACCGCACTTCAATTTTCGAAATTATTTATTTGGATGTTTTTTTAATGTACAGAAGTCTAATTATTGTTAATTTTGACGTAAAAATCCACACAGCTGCTGAATTAGAAAAATCCACCGTGCACATATAGAGAGCCATGAAAAACAATACAATAAAGTGTTAAATCCATACATATTTTGCGTAAAATGCCAATATACATGAGGGTGTACCTGTCAAGTGAGATGAAAACCAACGTTTGGTCAAGAAGCAGAAAGCACGCCCATACCTGTAGGTACGTTTCATTGAGGCTCTGCATTGTTTCGACTGGATTATACATGATAGTACAACTTTTATGTCGTCATGTCTTTTGATATTGTTGGCCAGTTGTCCCCCAAATTATCTATGTAAAAAGTGAAATGTCTACACAACACACAAATGTTGAATTGTGAACTTCAGAGGACGCTTGTTGAACAGTCATCATGCAGTCAGAAAGGCATCTCCAAGGTGTCTCTAAATCTGTTTTATCTGTGGGCATTTATGCCTCTTTTCCATTTCAATAGTGCATATTTTCCAAGCAGGATGGAATAAATGTGCATATTTGTCGGCCGTATGGTGGAAAAGGGAGAGTACTTTATTGGGCTACACAGATATTATTTGGTGTCATAAATTCGGTTCTTGCTGTACACTGTACGAGCATTAATTTAATGTTATTAAAAAAGCACTGATTTTAACCGTTGTGTTCAAATTCAACTGTCGGTTACTTCCTAAGTGATTTCATCAACGAGCGTCGATGTGTTAATGTCTGTGCCATCGTTTTACTTGTAATAGTGTGCAGAATAGCTTACATTATTTATGGCTGGTGCTATTCTCTGAACATTTTAGTTGTTTTCACTCAAAAACAAATAGTGTAATGCACATTTGTTGAACTTGATTCTGTGCAATAACATGTTTCATCATTTTATGCAGATTTTTTTAAGGAAGATACAATCCAAGAAACATATTTTGTCTTATAGATCAGTGGTTCTCAACCTGTGGTCCACGGTCAACAGTCCACCAGGCCGTGGGAAGTGGTCTGCAGAACTGTTGCAAATACTACGATATTTTACATAAAACACCATATTTTTTACTGCCTATTGCACAACTAATAAAAAGAAAGTTAATCATTTTCGTGTCTTTTTACTTAAATTACAGCGCTATTAGAGTAATTTAATTTTGAAAAACATTTTTGATGCATGATGATTTGCTAAACTGTTTTGAAGGTTGGTAGTGGAATGTGGGTGCAGAATGGTTGGGAACCACTGTTGTAGGTCGTGCCTAAACCATGCATCCTGGACTGTCTAACATAAAGTTTTGACGTATTGAAGAAAAACTTTCAAGCACTCTAAAATCACAAGAGCACTCCAATGGCATCAATGTAGTGATGTGTTAAAAAATATGGGATTGTTGCCATAGCAACCAAATTCGAGATATTTGTTTTGAGTGGTGTCTTTTAAGTTTACTGTGCTTTTAATAAATAGAAAATCCCAGACTGTTTTGTTGAAATAAAAATAAAGTAAAACAATTGTGATAAAATATATAAAACACTTGTCGATTAGTGTTTTAATCGGAAGATGCATGCAGTAAAAAAACACATTCTAGTGGGAAAAATGTTTTCATTTTCAGAGAAAACCGCTGTAAAGCCTCCTTATTGACTTAGGGCTCAATTAATTTATTAACGTGAATAGTTTGCATAAATATTTTCTCGTCACAAGTCACTGCTATGTTTTGCAGTGTGAACTGCCTTTGTATACCAATTCATCTGGCCTTGAATGTTCAAACTTATGGACAAACCACATATGAACAACGTTCTATGTCTTGTATTTTTGCTTGTATTATTTTGATGCAGGAGCCAAACAACAGCTCGTGAGAGACCATATAACTTTGAGTAACATACGATAAAAATGTACGTGACTTTTCATGGTCAGTACCCTTTATCGTATGCTGATATGGCAGTTCGAGTTTGCCAAAGTCAAACTATCAAGCATCAGCCCTGGAAATGTTGCACTGTGTGTGTATAGGGGTAGCTTTATCTGTCACTGATTGTGAACAAATAGAATGACGCTGATAAGAGCCGGCATAACAAACAATTAATCATTCCCACGAACGCAGAGAGAGAGAAAAGAGCCACCCTTCATGAGATATTTCGAAAACAACACACACTCTTCTTCAGTGTTCATTCACAGAGTCAAGCATGGAGAACTGTGAGATTGGAAAAAAAACATCACAACAGCCACGGCACTGAACATGGAGCCCAAATTGTGGTCATTAATCCAGGATGATTCACAAATGCTGGGACAAGACACCCAGTATGATGATACCTTCACCACTAACTTTGGCATTCCACAACATTCTGATGTCCATCATTGGGTTAATTATTTGAGACCTGACAACACGATAATTGAAAAGAGTGAACGGTGCAAAACAAGACCTCTTCATAAATGTAAAGATAACATGTAGATACTAACATTATTTGGAAGTGAAAATGAAATGTGCTACCCACTTAGTCACAAAGTGGCGCTGTCAATAAATATACATAAATGAATTTTTTTTAGACAGAGCAGTTTCGCCAAATCAACAACGTTACCATAAGTCCTGATTTGGAAAGAATTTGGTGTCACTTTATCAACTTAGAAATTGCCGCCTGTGTCCATCAGATGTGGACAACAATGTAAAGGAAAAGATTGATGCTTTCAAATTGGATGCTCCTAATTTCCTGGATGCCAAGTAAAGAAAACAGGAGGCTTGATTGATATGGAGTTTGTTTTTGCAAACTTGCAGGATTACACATGACCGACGGAAAGTTTTAGTGTTTCTAAAGCCTGTGGCATGAGCAGTGGCGGATTGGGTGTGTTTTTGTGTACAAATATATGGGAATGCATTGCAAAATCCAGAATGTTTCTATGAAAATGGCCATAAATCTGCCCAAGTTGGTGGCATTATGTCAAAGATAGCGAGCGACATCAACCGGTCCCAAAGCATTCGGGACTGAATGTAACTCTGCTGTGATTAATTATTAACGTGACATGCCCACAGAAAGACTCATGATTGGGTCCAGACATGTCATCCTCTCTATTACGCATACTAGTAAAATTATTTAGTGACACTGTGTTGGCAGTATCACCAAGAGAGGAGGTCTAACGCAATGCCCTCTCGATATGCTGTGAAGAAGGGTCATTGTTCGAAATGTCACCTGCTATTTACTCTATTTTTACGGCAGTGTTATTGACGAATGTGTTGATTTTTCCATGTATTATTATTATTATTCATGCGAAAGTAAAAGGGCTCCTTGACTTAAAGCTTTCATGACTGTAGGAATTCATATTCTTGGGTCTTTCGGTAAAGTTACTGAGATGGGTTCAAATAAATAACAAAATAACAAAAAACTACGACGTTGCGATCGCAACACAAGTGGTCGTCTTCAGGAAAGACGACGTGACTTTACCGAAAGACCCAAGAATATAAAAGGGCTCCTGTTGACATAACTTTACAATTCCACTCAATTTCTAGTAAATGATTCAGGTACACTCTGGTCCGTCATAGAAGCTCGCGATTTTGGTTAAGTAAAGGGGCCAACATTAATTAAGCTGGCTGTGCTGTTATTCTCTTTGCCACCACCATTCCCTTCATCTGGCCTCACTAGATACCTCAACACCCACATCTGGTGAAAAGCTAAATCATATGGTCGAAGTAAAATCCCTTCAACTATGCAAAACACGCTGCTCTATGTCTCCTTATCCAAAACTGTAATACACTGGTTAATCAGTTTAACTCTGGTTAATATAGCAGTGGCCTGTTTAACATTTTGCGTGTCATAGTGAAGCATTTTTTGCTCAGGGTACTGCATAGCCAAATGTTAAGACCTGAACGCTGTATAAACATGAACAAATAAGAGGAACCACTAAATACCTTTTCTGGGGCCTCTCATGTGTCACACGCTATGTGTCTTGTCTCTTCATGTCTTTCCCTGTGCTATTAACACCCCTGTCTCTACCACCACACATTTAGAAGCCATCTCGGACTGTCTCACTCATGCATGAAATGTAAAAAAGTACCCTTAATTATCTATAGCTCACTAATAATAGCAATTAATGTTCACATGAACCTGGTATTCATAACGCACGAACAGCGCGTAATAAATCGACGCCTTCACCATCCACCAAATCTTCTTCTGCGAAGAATGCACCTCCACTCTGCCCGCTGTCTCGTGTAATCACTGAGCTTACCCAACACGTGCTTTGTTTCCCCTTATGTTCTCCCAAATCCCAGGTCTCTTACGGTTACATCTGTAGGGAGATAAATGCACTTCGTGATTTTTTTCATCTCTCTAAAAGTCCATCTTCAGTTAAAAGGCATCATCAGTTATTATCGTATTTGTGAGTCGGGCATTGCGCCATTGTTGTATGGTCTGTTCTGGATGACCACAGAATCACACTGAAGAGTTTGTAATTTAGCATACGCAAAAAGAATACGTTATTATCGTAATTCTGCATACACATAGCCATATCCACCCTCGGCAAATGGCTGTGACTTTGTTAGAACAGTTAGCAAAGGCAGTATTGTCTGCAAACATCTGTTTTTATTTATCAGTTAGCAAACACATTCATGGTTCGCTATATAAGCCAAAAAAGGCCGGTATTAGTCCCAGTGGTGTGGCGGGAAGTCGCAAGGTAACAGATGGAGTCTCATACGATGCACTCAACATGCCTTGCATGATTTTTTTTTACCAATTATCTTGCATGATTTCTTGCTTTAGGAGACAGGGCACCACAGTGGTAAGACGTTACCTACCTTGCCTGGTACACTGAAGGTTAAGGGTTTCGATCCCGACCCTGATGCCTATATATTTGGAGTTTGCATGTTCTCCCTGTAGTTGTGTGGATTTTTCTCCGGGTTCTCTGGTTTTACCCTCCACATTTAGAAAACATGCGTTTTCGGTTATTTGGCTGCTATACATTTGCACGTGATAAGCCACTTCGTTGAGCTATAATTTGTGGCCAGGTCGCTTCTGCAAAAGAGCTTTATAGCTCAGTGGGCCTTGTCTCGTAAAATAAAAAAAAATGTTTAACAGTTGGTTTGGTGTGCTTGTTTTCCGACAAAATAAAGACTTATATGCACTGTGCTATACTTTGTAGGTTTTAATCGTTGTAAAGTATTGCCATTATCAGTACACAAACTAAGCAACAACTTTCTCTGTTTAAAAACATTTTGACGAATACGATGCCAATGGCTGTTAGGTAGCAATAAGAGCTTCTGTTTGTGAAACCATGACGACCACAGGGTCTGTAAATTGTGGCGCTACAATGAGTGTTTGACTTATTGCGCACCGTGCATACGAACTGTAGTCAACCGTGCTAATCGGAGGTGCGAATGGTTTTTGGTTTAACATTGACGGGTCCTCTGATTCTGTAGATGTTTGAATTAAATTTCAGTTACTGGTACAAGTGCTGTATTTATCATGCTGTACTGTAAATATATGGTGAGATTTCTTGGTTCAGTACTGTAGTCAATTGATAGGCAGCTAAAAGTCTTGCTTGACACATCGGGTTTTGTGAACAATGTCACATTTCATTATTGGGTTTTTGGTCCTATCACGAGAGCAAAATGTGTGTCGACCAACACAGGCAAGTAATCAAGTTGCCACTTGAACAAGTCTGAATACGAAAACATTCCTGCTGTGTGATGAGCATTCAGGTATTGTCTAATGTATTAAACGTGGAGCATATGTGACTGTTAGAAACTCTTAACAATTGTCACACTTGTGTATTCTAAAAGTGCATAGGAGATGCTGCCCTGGTGGAATCGTTAGTACACTGGAATGTTTACTGTTTCGTTTTATTTTACAATTTAAAAAAAAATCGTTTCAAACATGTCAATAAAAACAATTGGAATGATGGTCCACATTTACTATGATAATAACAAAGCAGACATACATGACTAAATCATTTAGAAAATGTACCTGAAAATGTAAATAAGGCCGAGCGGTGACACAGTGGTTAGCAGACTTCACCAACCTGCACTGACCAGTACGGTGAAGTGTGGTCAAATAACCTCCATGACCCACACAGCTTGGAAGGTCATCATCCAGCAGTCGACTGACAAAGGGCTGTCGTTTGATTAAATTAAATCACCTTATCAAATTATAGCGTCCTCTGGTCTAACACCGTTTTGAGACGAGGCTCAAAAGAAAGCTGTCTCTGGTGTTGACCAATCAGTTTCAAAGACAATGCATATTTTGATTTAAAGCTTTCGTGACTGCAGGGATTCATATTATTGGTTCTTTCGGTAAAATCACGTAGAAGGGAAACAACAAAATAATAAAAATATTTAAAAAAATTCAAGTGGCGTTTTTTTTTTTACAAATTTTCTTGCTGTGGTTTTCACACCTGATGATGATTGCTTGTGTTGCAGTCGAAACATCGTGAGAATTTTTTTTATTTTTTTATTTTATTGTTTTCCTTCTACGTGACTTTACCGAAAGAACCAAGAATACAATGAATATTGTTCAGAAGCTCACTGGCGATGCCGTTGAGCTATATAGGCCCACAGGACCCAGTCCAGTCGCACCGCCTCCACACTCGATGCTTGCACCATTGGTTCTTGTAGTTTGGCATTCTAGAGAATACAAGTCACGGTGTTGTGTTATATATTGCATAGAACTAGAACCCGAATCTTAAAGAGAGGGTGTTTGCCTATGACATTTGGCAACTGACTCTACTGATGAGACACTGTATGTAAAAAAACGTGTTCCGAGTTTTCTTGTATTGAATTAATGCGGCTGAAAATATACACTCCAAGAGGCTGCTGCGGTGTCAATGGGGGCTGTGTAAAAACGCTTTAATATATATTTGTTTACGTGGAGAGACAGCTACGTGAAGGAAATTTATTGTCTGTGTATTTATTCAATATTAAACATGGTCTTCTTGGCAGCAGGTGGTGGCACTGGGAGTACTGCCAAGAGACCTTGTTTTTGGAACTGCCCATTACACAATTATCTGTGTGCTCTACGTTGAGGGCGTACACTGGGTATATACAAATGGACAAGGCACATTATGGGTATATTGTAACATATATAAAAGGCAAAGTTGTGAATGTGTGTCTGTTCAAAATGTTTAGCGTACTTCCCGACATGCAACAAACTTGACATTTGCCATGTGGGTACTTTCCAGACTGTACACCATGCAAAAAATATAAAAATACACTTTTTTAAGGGGGGGAGCTCAATAATAGATTTTTTTGCACGGCAAGTGAGCTGTGACGTCAAATCTGTCACGTGACCCTCGCATGTGGAAGCGTAACGCATTGTAGTGTAGTGGTTAGCGCGCTGTGTATGGGTCTGTGTGTCTGTCTGTGTGTGTCTGTCTGTGTGTGTGTCTGTCTGTGTCTGTGTGTGTGTCTGTCTGTGTCTGTCTGTGTGTGTGTGGAAACGTAACGCATTGTAGTGTAGTGGTTAGCGCGCTGTGTCTGTGTGTCTGTGTGTGTGTGTCTATGTATGTGTCTGTGTGTGTGGAAGCGTAACGCATTGTAGTGTAGTGGTTAGCGCACCGCGCTACGAACTTGGCTACCCGAGTTCGATTCCCGCTCACGGCCACCACCGGTGACGATTATTTTAACCGGTCCTGGGCCTCCCCTAGGTCGACTGAGCCTCAAACGACTAACTGCTGTGGTGTGTGAACATCGCCATTGGGGAGACAAAGGCGGGCCGGGCGTGGTGAATCCAAGTCCCGGGCGAAGCCGGGTAGTTAAGCTAGTTGTAACATAGAGCCAAGTTGGTCAATCTTTTCACTATTGGTGACGCCTTATTTGGGGAGAAACATGTCCACAACGCTTTTACATTCACAATTCAAGTAAAAACTTACACCAACCCCACCCTTTCCCACCCCTCATGTGCAAGTGTTCAATTGAAGTAAAGTTCAGCCAAAACAATAAACACCTAATAATAATCTCTGACTTACAACACCAGACAGTTAATGTGTTGTTTAATGCGCCACGTGTTGAAAATGTGTATTAAATAAAATAATTAAACTTAAATGGGGGGAGTGGGGTGTGGGGGACTTATTTAGCACAGGCAAAGAAAAATATCCCCCCCCCCCCCCGTAGCCTTTAACAAACTGTTGGAACAAGTGCTTTTAGTGAGCACCTGTGAAGACCAGTACCGCACGCCCAGGGGGTTGTGTATATATATTGAACTTCTTTCGCACCGAACGCAAGCCAACCACGCTAATCGGAGGGTTGGCGGCCAACACCACGCCCGACCGCCTTTGTCACCCCAGTGCTGATGTTTACGAACCCCACCAGGTACTGATTTAATGCCGAGTAAACCTGGGGAGGTCCACTGGGACCAGTTCAAATATGTGACTGATATCGGCCGTGAGCGGGAATCGAAATCGGGTCACTGAGTTTGTGGCACAGCGCACCGACCACTGTGCCAATGCTCCCCACTTCGAAAGGGCACACACACTCACATTCAGTTAAACACATGGAATGGGTCACTATCGCATGCCGCGCTGGTTGCTGCCAGAGAAGGGGATCTGCTGTTGTAGCAGCCCTGTCTGCCAGCATGTTATGTGATAGGCCGGAGAAAGGGATGTGGGGCAAAGGTGACAGAGGGGACACGTGAGGAAAAACCCGGGAACCTTCTAGTAGGTTCTAGAAGTGGGGCGTGGGCCGAGGGTGGAGCGAGGCCACGCTGGGTGGATAAAAGGGAGAACCTGAGCAAGACTCACGGCTGTTGGTTGGAGTGGAAATCGTCGTGCTGCAGGAGTCTGCATCACCGTCTTCACCTCCTCGGCATTGTTGGTCAGGCAGCCTGTTACCTGTCCTGACCGTAGTGTAGTTACTCCCTGTACCTGTGAAGGCTCCTATTATTAGTGTAATCTGAGTGACTCACTAGACATGCACACATGTACAAACTAAATAGTGCCATGGGAACTTCATTTTCATTATGTTGTCATATTTTTCGATCCCATCTTGTCAAGTGAGCTTGACAACAAATGTTTTCCTATTGTTTTACAATAATATTATAGCTTAAATAATCCAGTCCACTGAGGTTCTCAGAGTGTGCATGTAAAGTGATTTTTAGACAGGAACGATCATAGTGTAGTGAGTCACTTCAGAGACACTAATAGTAGGAGGCATACACGTTTATATTACACTTTCCAGAGTATAGGGGGTAACTATATATGGGTCAGGACAGCCGGCACACTGCCTGACCCAACACCGACGAGGAGGTGAAGACGGAGACGAAGACTTGTGAAGAAGATGGGTTCCATTCCCAAACCGCAGCAGCCCCGACCCAGCATCAGGGCCTCCCTTTTATCCTCCCCAGCGTGGCCTGGCTCCGTGCCTCGGCCACGCCCCCTTCTGAAACCTACCCGAAGGTTCTGGGCTCTGCCCCACGTGTCCCCTCTGTCTCCTTTATCCTACATTCGTGCCTGTCACGTGCCCTACTGGCAGACCGGCCGCTGTATCCTCAAATGCCCTTCACTGCCAGCAACCGGCGCTACGCGCTCCAGTGGCAAACGTCACCTGCCCTGCTGGTAGACTGGGCTATTACACCCACGATCCCGCTCTCTACCAGTAACCAGCGCTACGCGCCATAGTGACCCATTCTTTGTCACTACAATAGCACAGATTTATAGATGACACAAAACGTCCATTGTGGTGAAAT